CGTGGGTTGAGCTGTATGCGCGTAAGTCTCTCTCTAGCTCAGGAAGTTGGTTGGGTTCGATCTGCCGAAATCACTAATTTTGAGGAGTACTTTTTTTTAGTGGTTGTTTGGATAGCTAGTATTTGAGAGTAGTTTTAGGAAAACCAGTTTTAAGAGGATTTTTAGGAAAACCAGTTTTAAGTTGTTGTTTTCGTAAAACTAGCTTATACTCCCTCCGTTCCTAAATATAAGTCTTTTTAGACATTTCAAATTGACTATAACATACGGATATATGTAGACATATTTTAGAGTGCAGGTTTACTCAGTTTGCTCCGTATGTAGTCACTCGTTGGAATCTCTAAAAAGACTTATATTTGGGAACGGAGGGAGTAGAATACTTTGTTTGGACGTGATTGATCATGCTGCAATATCACACAACCGAGGCTTTCATGCCAACGCTACTTCGCGTCATCCTCAACATTTGAGAAATAGGCAAATAGGCCAAGTGGTTCACGCGAGAAGTGCGGACTGAGGAGATCGAAGAAGGGAGGCACGAGCACGCCTAAGACGCCTACAATGGCAGAGTTCGTGTTGCTCCTGATGGGCCTGTCACGGACACAGACCTGGGCGTGCTCGGCCTCGTCATGTCCGGCAACTTCTAGGGCATGCGTGCAGCCAGCGGGGATATGGGGCACCACAGCGTGCGCGTCAACCTCATGTACCAAAGTGGCGTTGCCATGCCGCTGAGCTGCGTCGTGGTGGGCATCAACGCCGAAGAGATGGTGGCCATGACAGAAGGTGTTGCGCGCGCCGACCTGAGCAGCATAACGGTACATAGAACGGCTGAGACACAGACGCGGCGGCCACGGCGGCGCTTAGCACGCCAATGGTTAGGAGCAATGTGGGCGTCGTCCTGGCTGAGGAGCACAGTAGGGTACCTGAAACGACTGACATACAGACATGGCGGCCGTGGCGGCGCCTAGCATGCCAGCGGGCCGGAGGAACACGGCCGTCGTCCTCGTCGAGGAGCAAGAGCCACGGCGGCACTGGCGGCGCCTAGGATGCCAGCGGTCCGGAGGAACACGGTCGTCGTCCTCTTCGAGGAGAAGCAGGCACGGCCGCCATGGCGGCGCCTAGCATGCCAGCGGTCCGGAGGAACACGGTTGTCGTCCTTGTCGAGGAGCAGCAGCCACGGTACCTGAGCGGCTGACGAAGGACTTGCGATCTAGCTAAACTGGTTTGTGGAAAAACGACTAATAGCCGTTTTTCCATATACTCGTTTTTTGGGTTTTTGGAAGACCAAGTTTTTCTTATCCTGGGATTTGTTGGGCTAAACAAACATGGTTTTAGGTAGTTAGACTCCTAAACACGATTAGTGGAAACAGGTTTGATATAAACTCCTTATCCAAACAACGCCTTAGGGTATATTGGGGAGTACTCCTTCTAACTATCACTCCCGCCTGCCCAGTTTGCAAAAGTGGCGCACTGCTTGGGAGTTCCTTTTTTCGTAAATCTGTTTATTTAAAATAATTTATCTCAAACTGTGCGTCCAAATCTTGAACCGGTTTCACCGCTGGACTTCTCGCATCGAGATTTCAAAACTAAATCTCGTGTAGATAGATTTTGAAAAACTTTTTCCACAAAAAACTGGATGGAAAAACCGGACGCGAACTGGGAGCATATTTTTTTCCTTTTCGGAAGCCGTTTCCCAGAGGCACGACCCTGCCTCTCGCGGAAGCAAATCCGTGCCTCTCGCGAAAGCAAAATCGTACCTCTTGTAAAATAAAAAAAGAAGAAGATATTTTTTCATTTTTGAGAGGCACAACCGTGCCTCACGCGAAGCAAACTGTGCCTTTCGCGGAAGAAGAAAAAAAATGTGTTTTTTCTGTTTTCGTGAGGCACGACCGAGCCTCTCGTGGAAGCAAAACCGTCTCTCATGAAAGAAGAAAAAGAGAGAAAACATGTTTTTTCGCGCAAAAATATTGGCCGAACACCTAGAAAAGACCGATGAAAATCCGAAAAGTAAAAAAACACATCTAAAAAGTTGAAAACACGGGCGGAAAATATATCCGAAGAGAACGCACAGAGTGTGACACGTGGCGGCGGCTGAGAGCTCGCCACTCGATGCGTTCTTAGACCACCCCAAATGATCGTTGGGAGGCTCTCGAAGAAGCGCTCGTCAACTAGTTGCTCCGTCGATCTGCTGGTCTAGTAACCCACATTAGGCTCAACTAAAATAAACTCAAGAAGACAAAACTAACGACGGATGTCACTGGAAAGTAGCAATGGGTGCCGCTATGTCTCGCTTTAAGCAAGACCGACTGTAGTGGTCTCAAGTCAAACGAGAGGTGCTAGTGGGCCCGCCTAGTAGCATTCTGTTTGTTTTTTCTTTGTTCGTTCATTTCTATCGATTTTCCAATGGCTCGTTTGTTTGTTTTTCTTACTTAATTTCTTTATAATAAAATAGTCTAGAAATTAACAAAAAAATCATGTATTTAAAAAATCTCATGCAATATAAAAAAAATTCGCACAAATTTTCAAAAATTCCCATACCACTCAAAAAATGTTGAGCTGGTATTCGAAAAAATGTTCAAAATGTAATTTTAAAAAAGGGTTCATCATGTGTTTAAAAAATGTACAAAATGTATTCAAATTTCAAAGAAAATGTTTGACGTGTATTTGAAAAAAAAAATCATGTGTATTTATAAAATATTCAAGATTTATAAGAAATATACTCGACATGTATGCAAAAAAAATTCAACATATATTTGAAAAATGCTTAACATTTCTCCCTCAATTTTCAAACATATGTTGGACAAAAATGTTCATCGTATATTTTAATAACATTTAACATGTATCAAAAAAATGGTCAGCATGTATATATAAAAATCTATACAGTGTGTATTTTAAAAGGTGTTCAACATGTATTTGTAAAAATGTTGAAGGAGTAGCTGAAAAATCTTTCACACTAGTAAATGCGTACGTGCAACGCACATTAATATTTAGGCAATATATTAATTGCATGCGAATATTAGGTATGCTATTATTTGTGTGTTAATTTTATGATTAGTGCAATATTTGGTATGATATTAGTTGCACGTTAAACACGTTAAATGTTCGCCATTGGAGCAGTCTAAGTCGTTGGATTGATTTAGTTCGATGGCCGAGATCAGTTGGATCTGTCTCCTTGGGTCTTTTTATATTAATATAGATATAGATGTATTCAAAAACTTTTTAACGTGTATTCAAAAAGTGTTCAACATATAACTGAAAACAATGTATTCAGAAAATATTGAAACAAGAATTTTTTTAAATGTTCATGATGTATTTTAGAAAAATGTTGAAGGTGTATTTGAAAAATATTCCAGATGTATTAGAAAAATGTTCAACATGTATTCAATTTTCTTAACATCCATTCAAAAACAATATTCAAATTTGTAATTCAAAAATAATTATCATGTATTTTAAAAATAATCAACGTATATAAAAAATGTTCAATGTCTAACGAGAAATATACAATGTGTATTTTAAACAGTCGACATGTATTTGAAAAAAGATAAAAAAAATAAAAACAAAAAGAACAAAATAAAAATAAAAAAACAATAAAAACGATAATCAAAAACATGGAAATGGAAAAAGAAAAAAAACAAGTGAAACCTACCCAAAATCGGCATCCACACAAGCCATGGAATGACCTAAAATCAACTCTGTGTCGATTCAACACGACCTAAAATAACATTTTGGTATATAGTGTGTACAAAGTCAAGCTATTAGGTATGTGTTAACTTCATGTGATATTGGTATCCTGTTGTACCCTCGGTTTTGAATAGTAGTGTTGTTGAAAACCTCATTTAGCATCAGTGTGGTTCATTTAACTGGTGCATGTGAAATCACAATATTGGCGATTTAGAACTAAATGTAAATTTTGTTTGCCGGATTTGCATCATACATCTAGATCAAATCAATGTGGGAAATCCTTTGAGGTTGTTAACATTTTCTCATGTGTATATAGAAATTCCAGATCATTTTGTCTTTTATATTTAACTAATGTGCATGCTTCATTATTTTCTCAAGATAGACAGATGCAGCAACGTGCGCTTCTATGATCTAGTTGATCATTAAAATGAACACACCAAGTGTACGTTCGAGAAAGTCAGGCCATTTAATCATAGTCATCAAATGTTTGTCCATGATCTGGCCTCCTTCATTCGACATGCATATTTTGATTGATACCAATTTAAAACATATGCAATTATAATAAAACATCACCAGATTTTTAATTAATTGTTACATCCAATCGATCCCAAAATTGATGGTTTGGCCGTACGTGTCAAAAACGTAATTCTACTCTAGTTCGACGTCTGTGGCAAAGACCTCACTCATCGGCACCTCCATTGCCCGAAGCACTTCAACAAGTCCGCACGGTAGGCTCGGACAATCTTCGCCGCATCAAGATCTAACCCCGACCTCTTTAGGAACAACATCTTGGAGTCCACCAAAGCGACCTTGAT